AGAAATCTTCTTGTCGTGACACACTTGTTGTACAGTCAGTCTGATCCCAGTTCTTACAATCAGTGTGTCCCTCTGATCTGATTGTCAACCCATTGTGTGAAAACAACTTCTTCTAATTTGAGCCATCCAAATTTTAAACAAAAAAATATGTGAGCGGGAGACTGGAGAGATTCTTCAAGGATCCACTGAGATTTGATCCAGACAGATTTCACCCAGATGCTCCCAAGTAAGAAAAACACTGTTTCACCATGCTGACTTTATTACATTTAATATTTGCAAACACTTTATTATCTCAGACTAAATGAGTGAAACGGTTCACAGTAACTGAAGCTGTCTCTTATCTGTTCAACAAGGCCTTATTACTGCTACTACCCCTTTGCCCTCGGTCCTCGCTCGTGTCTGGGAAAGAACTTTGCTCAGGTGAGGATGACAGTGTAAGTCAACATGAAGACCCACTCACCTATAAACACACTGACTCATCTCTGTGGGCGCTGTTGTGTTTTTTAGATGGAGGCTAAAGTGGTGATGGCCAAACTGCTCCAGAGGTTTGACTTCACTCTTGTCCCGGGACAGACCTTTGACATCCTGAATACTGGCACACTCAGACCAAAGAGTGGAGTGTTGTGCACTTTGAGTCACAGGGATTACAAAAATAAACGATCTTAAAGGACTTTACATAAAAAGTGGTCTATTTTTGGTCCCTGGGATATATTAATATAGGGGAAAAGGAAAGTACAACTTCAACACTATGTCTCAGTTTTTCTACATGATTAAGAACTGCTTCTTTAGTAACTGAAATCAGCACAACTCTTTGAGTCTAAATTGTAGAAATAAATGTGTAAAAAAATCCTTGTCAAGAACAGAATAGATTTTCTCTTCTTTTTTTAAATTTTATTTTACTGAGGACTTTTTTGTTTTTGTTGCAGTTTTTGTTTTTACAATAACAAAAACCCCTAAATTTTCTGTAGTAGATGTTGAAAAATAGAAACTTTTCTGTCCTTAAATTGTTTACTTACTACTGAATTTTATTGCTGTAATATTAATGTCCATGGGCCAATTTGGCCCCCGGGCCTCATGTTTGACACCTCTGGTTTAAAGGGTAAAACTGATTGATTTGATTTTTATTCCTGTCTAAAACTTGTGATTTTAAAAAAAAAACTACACTGTAAATTCATATGAAATGAATGTAATCATGCTTATGTCTTCATTATGATAATATATATGGTAACATCATGGGGAGTGCTGGGTATAATAACATTTGCACTTAGCATTTTAATCTTGCACAAAATCATCACATAGTTTGATGTGACTTTTTTTAATAACCAGTGAGCCAAGGGACCTTTTGTGCCTGCATAGCATCCAAGATTTTCATAAAAGTGCTGCATGTTATGAAAATGAAAATAAATTTTGAGATCCCACAGAATTTTTTTGTTTAAGTCTGCACACTTCCAAGACGCTGTGCCATCCTGCTGCAAATCACATCATCCCAGCGCCAAGGAAACCCTCAGTCACCTGCTTAAATGACAATATCCTTGACATGATGACACGATTGTTCCGCAGATTTTTGTATAAATCCTATTAAGTACACTGTGAATACAACAACAATGACAGATAGTGGAGCTTTTCACAGTGTGGATCAGCAACAACAACTTTCTCCTGAATGTGAACGAAACCAAGAAACTGGTGACTGACTGCAGGAAGAAACGGCCCTCGTTCAGACTGCTCTACATCAACGACACCGCAGCAGAGAGCATGGAGCACACGAACTTCCTGGGAGTTGATGTGATGTATGGTTTGTCCCTGCACACCACCTCACTGATCAAGAATGGCTGAAAAGGTCACATCTGAGTCCAGATGTTCTCACCACCTCCTAAAGAGGCACCGCTGAGAGTGTGCTGACAAGCAGCATATCTCTAGCATGAGAACGAGGACAAGTGGGGTCACCCTGCCATCTATTTAGGGCCTGGCCCAACAACGCTGCAAAAAACCTTATTAGGGACACCTCACACCCCGACCACGGTCTGTTCTCACTCCTGCTTTCAGGCAGACATTAATGTAGAGGTGCAGGTCATTGCAGCTCTGTGGAAGCTTCTTTCCAACCACCATCAGACTGCAGTGTTGGGGAGTAACGGAATACATGTACCGCCGTTACGTATTTAAAATACAAAATATGAGTAACTGTATTCCGTTACAGTTACCGTTTAAAAAGG